CTTAGTTGGATTAAAATAACCTATTAATTTACTGGCTGGTCAGGAAGAAAATGTGAATGTACAGCTAATTTGCTCTTGTATGGGTGAAATGATTTATTTATCATTAACTGAGACTTGGTATCAAACTTTAATAATTTGCAGGTAAAAATGTTAAAAGAAGGATGGTATATTTAACTAAATGCTATCATATTTGTAAATAAAACATCACACCAAGTTAAATTTGAATACGAAAACAAATAAAGAATAGCTAAAACAGAAATATAATAAAGTTGGATTATATAACTGGTAATTAAAGATAAATCTAATCTCATGCCTGCACTTTGGGTAACTGGATCAGGTACAAAAACATTTGTGTGGCTTTTTATTTTTAGATTTTCTTAGATTAACCTAAGAGACTCACGTTTTTCTATAAAGCTCTGATTTCAATGAATCTTGTCTTTTAAAGTTTTATTTTATATTTCATTTTTTTTCACATCACAGCTTTTGATAAGTGACTGGAGGCCAGAGATAAAAAAAAAAAAAAAAAAATAGCTCGACTTGCAGTGACAGATTGACTCAGAGAGTAAAAAAATATGAGCAAAGGCAGAGTGAAAATGAATTGGCTAAACTTTTCCCAGAAAGAGATAAACCAGCCAGACCAAAACTCTGCTCTCATCTAGTGGGTCAAGATACAGACAGGTGAAATGAGCCAATTACAGGAGACATGAAATATTCAGCAGGAAATATTTCAAAGGGTTTGTGTTAACGTGCACAAATCCTGTGTGAACGCGTTTATAAGTACAAAGATCCAGAGTATGTGTCCTGAATACATGAAGAACAAGACCCACAATAAAGAGAAGATCAGAGACAAACCCAGAGAGAGTAAGCAGCCAGTTTTCAAAGTCTTGGATGTGTCAGTGACAGTTTGTCATAACAGGCTTCTTAAAACTGTGCCTCTATGTCTTCCAGATGGCTGTAACGATCTAAGCCCAGAATGTATTAACATGAGCAGATATGACAAGGAACGTTTCAAATTTAAAAAGACATTTGATGACAAAATGGGTCATAACCCGTGAGAATAAGTTTAGAAAAATGGCTCAAAATAACTGATCCCATCATTGTAAACAATATTTCACTCAATCAACTCAGATGGCTGCAAAATGAGCCCAAATATTACTTAAAGGCAGGTCCGGAGAGCAGCGCATCTCCTAAACAGGACAAGCAAAGAGCTGAGCTCTTCTCATGCTCCTGGGCCTCATGAAGATGTTATGGACTTAAACCTGAAACTACACTGAAAGTGATACGAGTGCCAGTTCTTAGCAAAAGGCCCACTTGCTCCGTCAGAGTCAATGATCTGGAAAATTACATCATCTTCACATTGTCTCACCTGCTGATCCACTGTAGACATTCTTACCAAATGAAAATGGCTGCCAATGGGTTCAGCCGCAGATGTATTTAATAGATGCTTTCTTTTTACAAGATATTATTTTGGAATTCAAGTTACACACAGTAAATTGTTTATTCTGCTGCACTTTTTTTATAGGGGTGATTCTGCAGAGGACAGACAGGTGTTGAGCAACAGTAGAGAAAGCAGCATAAATGCAGAATAAAATTCTCTACATTTATGTACAGATAAGATGCTGCTATCATTTTGGACATCTCTGGTGTTGCTGTTATTTTCAAAAATCCATTACTGTACAAATGTCCACAGCTGTATATTGGCTATTTATTCTCCAGGTACACCTTACAGTACAATATTTTATTTGTTTTCTCTTTGAATCTTGACTATTATGTTATGTTTATACACTCTTCTAATTTCCACATTTGTGTGACCATTTAATCTTTTTGCTGCTGTAAACACTAGAATTTCCCCATAGCGGGATGATAAGGGCATTTTCTATTCTATTCTATTCTATTCTATTCTATTCTATTCTATTCTATTCTATTCTATTCTATTCTATTCTATGTTAATGTGGAGAATGTATGTATATAATGTATCAGAATGAGGCTGAAAACCTTAATTAACAGACAGAAATCAAAGACCATGATAGTAGAGATGTAATTTCCAAACATAAATAAAGTACTCCATGGGTGAGCATGTAGTGTCCCATTATTGGTACAATTTTTTTGTTTTTAGAAGTGATAGTTGCCTTCTTGGTAGATGAATATAGACAGAGATTATAGAAATATGTAAATTTTTGCTTAATAATTTGTTTTTCTTAATGTAATCACTATTTTTCATTTATTCTAATCATTTTATCAAAAAAACTACGCAAACACAATATCGCCTTTAGATTAAGTTACACTTTAAAGTTGTTCAGATACAGTAGAACCAATATCAGTTTATTCAAACAGGGTCAAAAGAATGAAATATAAATTATTATTCCAACTATTTTAACTTTCATATCATGACCGATTCAAAAATGCCATTTTAATAAAAGTGTCAAAATATCTATTTTTGTTATTTCACAACTTATTGTTTACATTTTATGTCAGAGATATGTGTTCTATTTCCAATCTGTATGTTGAATAGAATATGTTGATCTGTAAAAAATGTATTTTAAAAAAAGAAATGTACAGTTCAAGCAATTCAAGCAAATCAAAGAGATATTGCAGATAAAACTAGTATGCACACTTTGACAAGTAGAAAAACACAGAACAATAGATCTAGCAAAACATTCAGACACTGAGCTCCAAAAGTGAATAACGAATGCTTACTAAGAAAATCTTAATTACAAACCGAATAACATCACTGATTATCTGCTTTATAAAGGTTAAGTGAAAAAATATACTGATTTTAAGGTAGGTCTTCAGTAAGAAAAGTGTGATTCAACACGATGATGATGATGATGATGATGATGATGATGATGATGATGATGATGATGATGGTATAACAAACTGATTTAGCAGTTTGCATTTGTCTAAAACTACCATGGATAAAACTAATTTCAAATTAATTCTTATAAAATAATCTTTCAAGATCAGCGAGCAAACGTTTTTCTAACTTTCAGTTATTCATTTGCTCATCATTCACTAAATAAATTGTGTTCTTGAGGTTTTATCAGGCTTCTCTGTAAGACTGTTACTTTACACAAACACATTCAGTTAGGCTTCTTCATGAGAGGTGATGTAGTCTGGCTCTGCTTAAATTGTAAACTTGAAGAGGTTGAAGAAGCCTGAGAAGTGTGGCTCTTTGTTCCCACTTTAAACAATATTCTATATAGGAGTGAGTAGTTGATGAAAACTAAAACAGTGGATGGAGCTGAGTTACTTTGCTCTAAAATAAACAATAGCTGCAAAAAAGTCTGTATCTCAACATAGAACCTCTCTGTCAGGCTCTCACACTTACATCTGTAAGCCAATGTAGCCTTTTTAATTTAGATTTGGGCATAAAAAACACAAATGTATCATGAAAGCATTGTTTCATGATGTTGGAGTTTTGCCATTTCATGATGAATTTCTCATAAATGTTCAACATTAGTTAAAATATGAGGATCCCTTCGAGACTCTGTACTCTCTAATAACAAACTATGAATGTATAGAAAATAAAAGCTAAACAACCTTTAAAAGCTTTTTTTTTTGTATAAGTCTGAAACCCGTGAAAAAATAATGAAAGGGTATTACCTGGATTGTTTTTAGATGGTAATTACCTCAGCAAAATGTACAGGTTTATAGCATAAACAGTTAGCATACCATTTTCCAGACTTAATCTGTGTGGGTTGGAAATAAAGATAGCAAAAATTTAATTTGCATAAAAACATGAAAATCAACAATACTGACTGATCCAAACTATGACCTTGGGCTACAATCAGAACAGCATGTTTTTTTATTGTTTAAATTTAATAAATTTCACAAAAATTCCCACCTTTAAAACGAAATAATAACTCACAAAGTTAACATATTATAAGAGAGGGTGAGTGCCTCTTGAGTATAATTAATAAATTCTTTCATGAGGTCAAAATTTAATATAGAGTTCTAGTCTTAAGCTTGTGGAGGACTAAATATGAAAGCTAATTACACTCATCTACCAATTACAAAGTTTTATATATAACTATTTCAAGCTGAAAGCCGCAGTATGTAGAAATTGAGTAGGAAAATTCTCTGATTTTTTGAGGAGATTCAAATATATTATTTAGCAAACAGGAAAGTTTCATAACATGAAATGTGGGATTTACTGGCTGACAATTGTTTTCCAGCTCTTCAGAAGTATGGCCATCTTTTTTTATTAATGTCCCTCGCTTGTTCTGTAAAATGGACACACATGGGCTTAGTGAAGATAAATAACTAGCCCAACTTTTCCACATACAGACTAAGCATCAGCCCCCGATTACAGGGTTCACCCCCCTGTGGTTCATTGGTCAGTGCATCTGAAGTGAGAGCACAGCATCAAACGGAGCATCCATCTAAAACAGGATTAGACTTGTACACGAACTCCCTCTCTGAAATATTTATCTCTCTTTTCTCCAGGAGCACGGGTACATGAACTCCGGAAACTTTCACAAGTGAAGGATTAATTTGCACGCTTTGGAATTAGCACTAAGATCAAAGTGAGAGGATGTCAGGGGGGGTATCCTAAAAACCCCTGAGTATCTACAGCAGATGCTTTTAATCATCTATTTTCATAGTGATACGTAGAAAGGAAAAAGGCTGAAGTTATACATACCGGTAATTAGTTTCTTTTAGAAAATACAGAGCTTAGCAGAAAAGCAGAAATCTTAAGAAAAATAGCTTTTTTATGCAAAAATAGGAAAAAATGGGACCAGCAGGGTGGCATATTAGATTTAGATGTTTACTCTGCAGAGGAATGAGATACTACAGGGCACTGTTGAAAACTGGGAATCATCTTTGAGGTTATTTGTGCATTTCTGTAAAAATAAAAAGACCTGGGCTTATTTTCCCTTTTGCTATCTTATTGTTTGTGCTGAGAGATACAAAGCCTGTATATAAAAAAAAGGAGGCAAATACAAGATAATCCCATTTACTTTCACATAGGTAAATCGACAGGGAATCATTTCTCTTACCGTCGCAGTCACCCAAGTGGGCCACATTTCCGTGTTCAACATCTTGCTCGAATGGCAGTCTGTGGAGGATAAAAGGTACGTTCATTAATCAGAGGCTACAGAAGCACAACAAGCCAGCTACCGAAACACAGTGCAGATGAACTCTGATAGGGGCTATCTTTACGGTTAGACACTTTAAAGCTTTTTCCCTCATGAAACTACAAAATGTTTTTATTTTTATTTTGAAAAACTGAATCAAAAATTTCATTAAATCTTTAAAAGAACAAAAGATGCCCTTGAGGTACCTAATGCTCCATAATAATTACCACACTAATTTAAAGATAACCATTCATGCCTGCAGCTGTGTCCATAATTAAGATAATTTGAGAACTGGATGACAAATATTTCTAGGTTAGCTTCACATAAAGTATTCTGGCTGTAAATATAAATTCCATTTTCTTCAAGGTTTCTTCAAAGATTGTGTAGCTCCAAAAGCTACATTTACTTTAAATGCACATAACCTACTTTTGATGTTTAGAAACAGTAAACAAACATCATTAAACAAAATTATCTTTAGGCTTCAAGTTCCTGCCTCAGACTCAACTGGTACTACAGTTTTCATTATCACATTTTCATCACAGTTATTTTTGCGCCCCTTTTTTTTTATTGCCTATGTTGTATTTCTGGGATCGCTGTTATAATAGGAATCCAATTTAAAGCCAATCTTGAAGACTCTGACTCAATGAATAAGGGCCTTCTCAAATGCTTCACTTAGAAACTGTTTTGAAGCATAATGTTCTGACTTCCGTGCTGTTTACGGGATACTTATTTGGTCCTTTTTGACATTTAACTTAGTCTTCAAATACAAGAACTATGGTAATAAACAGACGCATCTGCACAGTGATAAAAGGTGAATATTGCCCACTCACCATGTCAATAGAAAACTAGATTAAATTCATAAAAAATGACACACATAAGACATCTTTTGTTGCAGTAGTTTGCAGCCCCAGTTTGAAATCACAATGTTTTAATCCAGACAAAGCACTCTGTTTCCAAACCTGTCTTCAGATTATTAGCAAGTTCCCCTTGTGGGCTGATTGCTCAACTTTCTTCTGATCATCCTCATCCCATGAGCCAAGTTGTTGATTGGAGCTCCAGGCTGAGGGCGACTAACGGTCATTTCCGCAATCTCTAAATGAATGCACCAACAGCTGTTCCCATAGCCTTTTCCTGATGGTTCTGACCAATATTGCCTTTCTTAGATTCACTCTCTTGTCCCTCACAGCTTTCAAATTTTGTTTAATTCTCAAATGTGGTGAAGATGTTGAACGATCATAAATCAAATAATAATCAGCTGCACCCGTGTGCTGAATCAGTTGAGGTCAAAGCGGTTTTTAATTGGCTAAATTAGTCCTTTGGATCCAGACCTTTTGCTGAACGGGATCAAATACTTCATCATCCTAATTACTTGTAAATCATTTCTACCACTTATTTTGTGTGTTCGTTTTTTTGTTGTTTTTTTGTTAAATATTCTGTACCTCCTTATTGAATCAAAACCAACATAACGACACACTGTTAATTTCCTTCTATCATATACTTATTTCTAATAATTTGAAACATATTGATTTCAGAAAAATAAAAAAAATATATGTTTCACACTCCCTCGGGAGGTGTTCCAGGCATGTCCCACTGGGAGGAGGCCCAGGGGACGACCCAGGACACGCTGGAGAGACTATGTCTCTCGCCTGGCCTGGGAGCGCCTAGGGCTTCCCCCAACAAAGCTGGAGGAGGTGTCTGCCGAGAGGGAAGTCTGGGAGCCTCTGCTTAGTCTGCAGCCCCCGCGACCCGGTTCCGGATAAAGCGGGAGACGACGAGTACAAGTACGAATATTTTTCACACATTAAACTAAACATAAACATTAATCCATCCATTTTGCGGTAGGGTCGTTTTCTATCTCCAGCAGTCTATGGGAAAAAGGCGGGGTTAACCCTGAACAGGTCGCCAGCCTGACGCAGGGCATAAACAAAAACACAAACCCTCAAATTGAAATTTCAATAATCCAAAAGAAAAACGATAACCTATTGTGTTCCTGCAACTCATTTCCCATTTGGACAGTAGAGGAACACAGGGGGGAACAAAGGGAAAATCAATGCAGTATAAGTTATGGTGAAGTTAGTCCAGAGGAAATGAGAACAGCTCAGCACAGGCCAGGTGCTCTCAAAGACAAACACAACTGCTTTTGGTTATGATTCGTGTCAGGGGAACAGGACCAGGTTGGAAGGGGCAGAAAAAAAGTGTGTAGTTTAGTTTGAGCAAAACAATCTACTTGCCTGCAGGCTTCATTGTCTACAAAGCTCAGCTAATGAAATTCATATGAAAGGGTAAGTTATTGCGAGGGAAAGATGCAGATCTTTTTTTTCCAGGTCATTTATGAATTGCAAAATAAAACCCAATGCATCCTACAAAACTATATACACTCTTTTTACATTTTATTAAGTTGCAAATTTTAGTGCATTTTTGCAAAATGATTCATGGTTTTGTAATTATTTACTGATCATTCCATAGTTGGTAGAGCCACCTTCCACTGCATCAATATGGAGTACTCAAAAAACATTTTGTCATACAATTAATACACACAAGTTACAAGAAATTAATAAATATAAGCAGTGATGAAATAATGCATATATACAATACAGTATACATTTTTTTCTTTCTCTATTAAATAGGTACCTTATTTCCCATAATTATAAGGGTTAGGGTTAGATCTAATTATTTAGATCTAATTATTTCTCTGTATGTTTCCTTTATTCTTCTGTTGTATTTTCTTATATCTATTTATTCCATATACTGTATGCTTCTTTCTGCCTTTATTTATTTTTTTTGTATACCTTATTGTCTTATTTTGCACAAAAAGAGGGGTGTTCTTAAGGGGGCAAGCTCTGTCTGTTTGTTAGTCAGACTGCTCTCAATATAATAATTTATTTGAGAGCTACTCTGTAATTTCTGACTTTCTCATGAGAGCCCTCTGACAGAACGTGTGCTTCAGGTAGATGCACAAATGGACATAGATGTTCAGTTGTCTGCCAAACTAGTTATACCGGATCGTCCCCACAGAAATTACAACCCCTGCGTCGGGAGAGGATGAGCAATCTAATCTCTCGTCTCATTTTCAACTAGCTAGAGGTGGAAATAGGGATGTTTAACCTCTGTTAAAAAATGAAAGAAGAGTGACGTTATCTCACCATTCAGCTAACGGGTTACAAGAGAAAATTACACCTGTTGTTCTTCCACAGTATCGAGTATCGACAAAGAAGATAATGATGTCTGTTTAATCCTCAATTCATAAAGCCATTAAAACTCTGTCAGTTTAGGTTAATGCCTATAACTTAGGCATGTAAATCTTTAAAGCTTAATATATATATTCCTCAAACATCCCTATAACTTCATGTTTGACATTAAAAGTCAATTGCTTGAACTGGATTTAATCAAATGAGGTTGAATTAAATGCATATCACAGTTTCCTTAATATATATAAAAACTGTTTTCTTCCATTTAGTTGCTAGGAGCAGCTTTGCGTTGGTCTGTCATGTAAAGCTGATTAGAATATAGACAATTCTGAATTGTCTCATGACAAAATTGTAAAGATTTAATGTGTCTGATTACTGGTATGCTGTATTATGATCAAGTTATTACCTATAATGGTTATTTCATTAATAATATTCATGTTATTAAACTTAAACCTTATAAAGTTAATCAATCAAAAGTACAAACCATTGACATGCAGTATTATGAATTTCTCACACAAATATCACCAAAAAACAAGTAACTGCACAGATTAGTTTTTTTGATTTGACTCCTGAAAAAGCAGAACCCGTTAGACCACTAGGAATAAGAATAACCTTTGAAGCTAGTTCTGAAATGCCATTCTGATTAATTTTCCACAGATAAGTCTTGCTTCTTACACTACAATTCAAAAAAAAAAAAAAAAGTGTGATGCAAACTGCAACACTCAGTGACATTTAAATACTGAAAGTGACAGAAGTGCTGAGCACAAGGACATGGAGAGGACAGGAAGAGGAATCAGTGGAAAAATAGCTAAATCTGTCCGGTACTGTAAAGCTGAAAGCACCATCAATGACGTGTCTTCAACTAAATAATATGGTTACTTGTAAATAACATTACATTAAGTCTGTTCTTGAGTTCAAATCATAATCTGATTTGTTTGCAGTCTGAGGAATGATTACTGATTGGAGGAACTAGGGGAGTATGTTCAGATTCTAAGTGGTAGATGGAGGTAGTTGATAACATTCTGTAATTGCATTAAATCTGAACCCCAAGGCAGCAGACCATCAAGTTTGATCTTCATAAAGACCAGAAACAGGAAGGAAAAGGACCCAACACTGTCCAAAACCTCCTCTGAGGTTTAGTCTGGAATTTAGAGGCAGGAATAATGACCTGGCATGAGCTAATAAAACTCAAAGAGAAAAAGCATCAAGCTAATTTTATAGGCTTAGAAAGTACCGATATATTCCATAATGTATTCAAACTTCACTACATAATTGATGAAATTTTGTATTTGCACAGAAAGACACAAGAAAAAGTCATATTCTAATAGAATATATAGTATCAAATACAATTTATTTAAATATGGTTAGGCTGTTGATTGTTTTAGCTTCCATGGAAAATAAATATCTGTCCCACATACAGCATCTAAGAAGGAATGCAGATGAGAATGCACAGGGATGATAAATTGTCTTTAGAAGCTTGTTTGTGCAATTAGAAAACCTTCTGCACAGTAACCAGTTGGCTTTTAATGTCTGAAAAACACTTTGACGAATGAGTTTAAATATGCAGTGAAGGCATGGCAGATGTCATCATAATAAAGAATAATGCCTTGTGTTAAGCTGGCTGCCATGCACACCCTGCTACTTAAACATGTAGGCTGAAAATGTTGCTTTTTAACTTCTTGTACATTTTTCTAGGTGTGTTGGCTCATTATTCTAGGCCATCAAAATAGGATATGATGAAAGACCAGATGATGTTTGCTGCATGTCGGTAATAGTGCTGCAATATGATTCTTAAAACTAAGGTTCTGATAACCTTTGTTTTATTCTTGCACAAGGAAAATAGGATATCAAGTAATTACCATAATTTCCTAACAAAACATCTGTATCCTTTTAATGTGGACCTATTTTAAAAGTACAAATTCCTGGCAAGAGAACAGAGATGTTGAAACTTCAAGCTGAAAGCGATCATGAAATTCATAAAGGTCCACCTTCTGTTACCAAATGGAACAAATGCTAATTTAAAGGAGTAAATAAATGCAAATCGCAGTTCTAGTCAGAAGTCCACACGCAGTCATCCTAGACATGAAAGCCTTTCAAATTTTGCATTTATTTTTAACATTTTGTGACATTGGTGGCCTTTATTCATAATCGACCGGAGGAAAGGGGGAAGACCTGCAGCTAGAGCCCCAAGATTGAGAACCAAACATCAGATGGCTTCACAGGCCAGCCTCTTTATATTAAGCAAACCTCTTTATGCTAGGCACCATTACCCGTTTTGTTCATAATTAATATGTTTTAAAATATCATTTTTCTCCCCCTAAGATTAAATGAAACTGTTTCGGATTCCAGGATTAATCCAAGACTCAAAAACAAGATTACTTAAAGTGCGTGAAAGCCAAACGAGAAGGAGATCTTAAAACTGTCTTTGACTGATGTGTGCAGATTCCAATGAGATATACTGTATTCAGATCAGAAAAAGACTGAGATTTTTATGACAAAAAGTTCATTTTGAAAGGTCAGGATGCCCTGTTACAACTGTCAACTATGGTGCTAATGGTATCAAAAGCCCCTGTAAAATTGGCACTAAAAATCGTGGGGTTTTTGAAAGCCCAGGTGCGTTTCCATACATATTCTCCCAGATATTTTCACTGTCCTAGTACATCTCAAAATACACCTCTTTAGTTAGTTTCTCAAGAAATAGCCACCTTTTAAACCTTTGTATAAGTGGCAGAGCCCCTGGTAAGACCTGGGTGGCTGCTTTCTGAGACTGACGTGGAGTGGGATCTCCCGCAAACTGCAGCTGTACTGTCAGCCAGTAGGTCAGTCATTACCTATTAATTATCTTAACACAAAAAGTTTTTTGAGATGACAGCAGAGCAAGAAGGGAGATCACAAGTTGTCTACAGCTTCAACTTGATATAAATATATGCTTATGATTGTAAAGTTAATCATTAATTCCTTATAAATTTGTAAAAACTTTAACAACATTCTGAGTAAGGATTTACCTGTTTATGTCACTTAGAACATCAACCTCATTTAAACTTGTACAGAAATTTTTGTTCCAGCAGGGCATTGATCTCAAACATGCATCAAATTTGTTTTGGAATGGCTAAATCGAGCTTACAAGGTTATGTATTGACTCTCTTCCATGTGTATAAGCAATTTAATGCCTATGCGGAAAACCTGGGTCAGCACAGAAAACAAATTTTTTTACGTAAATGATCAATTCTGCCAAGAGGACTGTTTCACTATCTGACCAGAACGATGCTATGAGCTTGTTAATGGATGGATTCTTAAAAGCATATAGTTAATATGACATTCATGTTGATGGTTCATATTAACCCATGCCACTTTTTTTTAATTTTATGTAACAATAAACCTATATATCTAAAAATCTAACTTTACACAAAAAATATATTCAAAATAATAACCCATCTTCCACAGTGGCTGTCCAATTTACAACCCCATGTCCCTCTCCTCTGGTGAAGGCTACCTGAGAAAGGTTGCATTAATCCACAGAGAGGAAATCCTCAGAAACTTAATGCAGAATCGATTGCCAGGTTGACCGCCCTTGGTAAATCTAATCAAGACATACACAGAGGTCTTTAATAGTATAAGCAGCATGCCCAAGGTGGTCTTTAAGGTATGTGTTGTCTGTTCAGTAGGCACTACACTTGTGTTGGAAAGCCTAATTCAATAAGCAGCTTAACTTATGAGAAATCTGATTTCAGTGGAGGGAAAAGAACAGGACTGAAAGTGAGCAGAGAAGACATAGAACTGCAGCAGGAACAGAGAAACAGAGGAATTCATATGCAAACTTGACACCTCCCAAAAAAAGGCAATGCTTCATGACAACTCAACAGGTAAACAAAAAAAATAACAATATTTAAGATCAGTCATTCACATTCTACAAGTATGTAAAGATCAGAGTGGGTGACAGATTAGAATCAGGAACCAAAAAAAGAAAAAAATCATATCTCTAACACCATATTTCTATCATATTTCTAAAACTCCCAAAGTGGATAAATAATGCATGAGATGTTGCCAGTTTTTCTTTTAGAAGGCAAAAATCACCCTGGGATGAGTAATAAAAAATAAATCAACACAAAAACAGAACTTTAGGATCAAAGAGAAGGAAAGTGGTAATAGAACTTGAAAATAGGATAAAGAAAAAAATGTCATAGAGCCAGGAGACAGGAAATAGAAGTATGTCGGTGTGCTTATAGATTGTGTAGCAACATAGAAAAATTGTTCCACCTTGTTCCTGGTCTAAGGAAGGAGCAGGTGCTTCCTCTGGTCCAGCCACAATATGGGTCCCTGGAGGCGATGCAGTTCCTGAGGGAAACCAGAGAAAAATAAATTAATTTAACCCTTAACATTAAACTGGGTTCACTTAAGAAGGCCCCAAAGTTAGTCTCTTACATGTTTGATGATGAGAGCAGCTTAAAGGGAAAGTAATTTAAAACATGAAGGCTCACAGTTAACTCATTAAATCAGATTAAATGCTTCCTGCTCGAAGTCATTAGGATTACAAATCGAAGTTTCAATTGTTAATTTTTTTTTGCAATTTTGTAGAGAAAGACCCTTCCTCCTAAAAATGCAACATATGAATCTGAAATTATTATTTTTTTGGTAAGAAGGTCATGTCGAGGATAAAATTTAACCAGGACCATAATGAAAATCACTGTACAATGTACAATTGACAGACTTTATTACCTTTTACATGATTTATATTTAGCTATGACTGGTTTATGTTAAATCTGCAGTATTTCCCATCTTACAATCAGGTTGTCATCTAGTTAAAATGAATGTAACCTGTGTCACTAATACCAAAATGTCTAACAGCAATTTCACCATAGTTTTCTTTCAAAGCAAAAAGGGGCTCTCAGAGCACTTTATAATCCAAAAAAAAGGAATACTAAATGCTGAATACATATAAATGCTGCCTTCCTGTTAAATCCAGAACAGAAATTACAATGCTCATTCTCACGCATAAAGCCCTAATTAAGCTCCATTTTATATTTTAGTTTTTTTACTTATGTGCCTAATAAAACACATTCAACCTAAAGATTTGCCAGTTGTTCCTAGATTTTCCAAAAGTAGAGACAGTTTTAGTCTAAGAGGCAGACACTGTGTCTACTTTTAGGAATAGGCATAAACAGTTTCTTTCTGATAAAGCTTACAGTTAAAGTGCCTCAGGTTATCCTGAACTATCTTTATAGCTAGCTTCTATAGGCTTAAGGTATAGGAGGGCCAAGGGAACACTTCTCTTCATTCTACTTCTGTTCTGCATTATTTTCTTAGTTCAACTTCTAATTTTGTTTCCTCTGTGCTTTTTCTTGTTATAGTAGCTCCATCTGGCCTGTTGCTCTGTTTGGCTGTGAAACCATTCTGGAGGAAGGCATCAGCTGGGCTGCTGGAAACAGCTTCTGTTATAGATGAAAGAGTTGCACCTGTTGTCCGTGCTTAGGGTTTATGTTAGGTCAGATTTTACTTTGACTAACTGTATGCACTGCAAAAAATAATTTTTTTTATTAAAATAAATGCATTTGTTCTTGGATTGAGGAGGTAAAAGAGACATTTTGCCAATGGAAAGACAATTTACACTTAAAATAAGAAAACAAAATTGCATTGTCTTATATCAAGTGCATATTATCTAATAATCTTATTTTAAGAGTAAAAATACTAATTCCATTAGCAAAGTATCTCCTTTACCTACTCAAATTAAGGTTGAATACACTGAATTTAAGAAATGTTAACTTATTTCTAGATTGTTTTTCTAGTGTGTACTCTCTTTCATTCTTTTTTAAAAGAAAACTGGTTAAGAGTTACTCTATTTAAAAGTTTCTCTCCTCGGCAGAGCTACCAGTGGAGCTAGTTTACCCATATATTTTCTAATATAGAATATTTTTATAGATCAGTGCTTCAATGTTCCTTTTCTGTGCCTGCTTCCATCCTGGTGAATCCCCACTTGCCCTTGGCATAAAGCTAATCACAATGAACCTGGTTCTGCAGGAGGTTTCTTATTAGAGGGGAAGTTTTTCTCTCCACTGTCACTACATACATGTTAAATATAAGGGATTAATGTCTACTATCACCACATGCATTGAGTCATTGACTCACGGCAGTCAGCTAAGTGTCACTACATAGAACACTTTTAACCAATCTGTACTATTAAATAGGTTTGTTTCTGTAAAGGGCATTACGATGACATGTTGTGAATTAGGGCTTATGAAAAAAGCAGTGGATAAGAATGACAGACTAACAAAAGTAGGCAAAGCTTTAGAGTATTCAGAGCTCTGAATTCTAACCTCTAAATACTCAACCTCTATCTTACATTAGAGATCTCATTGTAATGATATACTGTATGACATTGTAAATTAAGCTCCTCACTCTTCAACTGCAGGTTTCCTTAAGGTTTATAGGTCGTATGCAGTGGAACAGGAGGGAGATAATTAAATGATTAGAATTCTATCTTTCAGTGCTGGTAAGAAAGTCACCATGTCTACTTTTTTGATCAGGGTGTGAGCATTCCTTTTTGATAAAGTTTATTGCAAGGAATGTTTTGCATCCTGAAATTAGGTATGGAAAAAAGCCCTTAGAATGATACAAGAAAATGAAGCCTGTATTCATACTTCTTTAAGGTTAGTGATATCACAGTGTTCCACTTAGAGTTCCACAGCTTTCACATATTCTGTTTGATTTACCCAGAAGGAAAGGGAAACTGACGGGACCGAAAAGAAAAGATTAAAGTGACTTTTAACAGATCAATAATGCTGTTTTTACCTTACTTTATATTCCTGAGAGATAAATGATCCCCAAGGGAAAAACAACACAATCTCCTGTTAGTTCTTCCCTCCTCTGCTCATGATTTATAATGGAACTATTAATTATGTTTTCACTAGTACTTTTAGTAATACAGTCCTAGTATGGCAAATTAGGGTGTAGGAAACATTTTTTAAATCATTCAATTGCAGTTTAGGGGACAGTAAAACGAAAAAATATAGACATACTTTGGGTGCGGAAGGACCTGCAGTACTGAGTTTCAGTCTGTTGCTGCTTTTCTGACTAAGTGATTCTGTGTTGAGCTTTGTGTTTTACACTTTCTGTTTCTGAACAGCCAGATGACGTTCTGTCATTCTGTCGAGATGTGATAAGAATCAACAAAAGAAATTGTCAGCTGCAACTAAACAGGGAAAGAACTAAACTGATCAGTGCCCCCAACCTCCATTTATTCTTGTTGTGAAGGTATTAGATGCTGTTGCTAATCACAGCAGGTTATGGTGGAGCTTGCAGCTGTTGTAGTTGATCACTAAATAATCTAAAATGAAAATAAATAAAAAAAGTGAAAAGTCAAAAATGTGAAGTCAAAAACATGTTTTGAATCGACCAGATACATGTTTATTTTATTAGAATGAATCTGTATTTTCCCTGAGCAGTAAAATCTATTTGCATTAAACTTACAGGGAAATAGAGGGAGTGGAACAACAAAGATTGGCAATGATAATAGAATATAATAATTGCCTTACTGAAAGGTACATATACTTAAAAGTGACTCTAAGTGTTGTTTTGCCAAATAGTGTAGTGGCATTTCAATTTTATATCACCCCTACCAGGAGCTCAACTGTCTAATAGTTATTAGATTTACCTCAATTAAGGATGTATAAAAATGTTATGTAGTTACTAATACTCTAAAAGATACTAAAAATGATGCTAAAAAGCTATAAAACATAATAAAAAGTCCAGAGGTTCAAGTTTGTTTTGCCAGAACATTTTAATATCTTAAAAAATCTCATAGGAAGTTATGTTCCGTTTCAACAACAGTGTTGGGTACATATTTGAAAAAAGTAACTAGTTATAGTTTCTACCCCCAAAAGGTAACTGAGTTACCAACTCAGTTACTGCTCAATCAAACTAACTCGTTACTAGGTAAAGTGACTAAGCAGTTACTTTTTATCATAAAATCTTAATAACTTAGGATAGCTTTCCTAAGTTATTAAAACTTTAAACATAACTAGGAGTTTTGATTTGTATTAATTTAAACTAATTGTTTTTTGTATTACAGTAATAAAACAAAAAATATATGCAAAAAAATATAACAGCCAGACTCAAAAGTACAGCTGAAGTAAATTTTGTTCTAATCAAACTGTATGGGCTGAATAAAAAAAAAAAAATAAGTGTAGTTCCTCAATTTAGATATGAGTTTTTCAACAATGTCTCATAAAATCAGTAAGATATCTTTTTTTCGTTTTGACTTTATACTAAAACTAAACTAAACTCAGCTGGTTTAATTTAATAATAAAATGACAAGTCTTTTAATGAACACAAAAAACAGGTTCATGTAAAGCTTCTGGTATAATTTCTATGTGAAATATAAATGAACTACATGCAAAAATCTGACACAATATTTTATATATCAATTACAAACTAGTCTGTAAAAACATTTTCTGCTGTCTAAAACTGTAAAAAGCTGTACCTTTATTTTGTGAACAAAAGCATGGTTATAAAACTCTGAACCAGAGGTCTTCAACGGGGGTCCGTGACCTCTACGGGGTCATGAAAGTTTTGGTTTATTAGACTTTTTTTAATATTCCACCCTGCAATTTTTTTCCACTAAATGAAATGTCTTTAAATCCACATTAACATGAATTCAACACACTGTAGTAAACAGATAAATGGAGGCAGAAGATTTATTTTAGTCATCAATGCACACATTCAGCGACACACAGGAGCTCTTTCAAGCTGGGCACCGTTTCATTCACAACACCTGTCCTATCAACGAGGAATAAGAATCAGAAATACTTTTATAATCCCAGTGCAAAATTACTTTCGTTGTGTGACTCCATCTGTAATAGAGTGACTAAAGACCAGTTTGATATAATAATTTCATACAATATATATAATTAGGGGGTCCCCACTCCATCTCGCCATCAGTTTGGGGGTCCTTGTTGAAGACCCCTGGTCTAAACTACATGTTTTGTACACGCTATAATTGTTTTTCTTATAGTAAAATACTGAAAATTACAACTTAACTTCAAGAATAGCTGGAAAATCTTAGCTTTAGTAAATGATAGGGATCTACAGATCTTTTACTATGATGTTAAAAAAATATGTAAAAAGTTCACAATAACTACTCAGAGGTTAAAAAAACAGCAGGAACTGCCGAAGCGTGACTAAAAAATCCTGAACCTACTCATGCACAGAAAGTGAATCCTGATACGCAAATCTAAACACATAAGCACACATGTTAAATACACCTCAGGGAGCATATGAGTGGTTTCCAAATGTGGTCTTGATTATACGCCTGTATGACTCACCTGCTCCAGTGAACACACATCACATGTGCTGCCGGGTGGTGCACTGGTTTTTGTTAGTGTGGAGGTGGACCCCAGCAGGCTGCAGTCACAGGTCTCAAAACGAGAGGAGTGGGGCTATGTGTTGCTCTGATTGCATGGGTGTATGCATGTGGAGAGTCATTATATCTCATTCATGCATCTGTGTGTGTAATGATCAGTGAAATTGTCCAAAGCAAAAGAAAGCCATCAGAAAATCTGGAGTGTTCTTTTTTTGGTTCTGCTCTTGATTAAACTTCATGCTTTGATTATAATAGTCGAAATATAATAACAGAATGTTGAAATTATTAAAAAAAATAAAATAAAAAACTTTAATAGGACAGTAGTATGCCACCTCATTGAAGTTTAGGGCCAAAAAATCCCAAAAAAACACCTTTGACTCAAACGTTACCTTCAGAATCCACACCCTTAGATTTATTTACAGTATGACCATTTGCACAAAACGTTAAATATCATTAGCATAGTGTTTCATGGTCATATCAATATATACACTTAATTGTGTCCCGGAAATGTAAATGTATTTTTTGAGTGGTATGATCACAAGCTATTAAATCAGTTTCATCTTCAATGGCATGTGATTATATATAGTAGCAGGAATGCTAAAATATAGAACAGTATTTAATATTAGCACAGGTAATATTTCCAGTGCCTCTAAACCTCCAGAGGGATTTCTTGGTTTGTGTGTAAGAGATCCATAAAACATAACTTTACATTTTAACATTTTGCTTTTTGTCTAACAGCTTCAGATATTAGAAAAAAATTGAAAAAATTCCCAATAAGTTAGACTGCAGCAAAATGCACAAATACAAGAAATTAAATACATTTATTTAACTCTCCTTAGTCAGAAGATGCAGAAAAATACCAAGTAATGTTAAAGAAGAAAAGTGATGTTACGCCTGAAAGGTTTAGATTCAACTCCTTTTGAACGTATAGAATATTTTACAATCTTACAGACTTAGTCATTTAAGCCGGACACTATTCTGTTTTAAGGCATAATTAAAACAGAACACTGCTATCCCTTTTATCAGGACCAAAGAAAATTTCCAGCAGAGCGTCTCTCCCACTGCAGCAAAGCTTAGGTCTGCCGCAGCTGTCAGAGCTCTCCTTTTCACTTCACTTAAAGACAAATGCTAGTTGGTCCCTTTAAGGTCACCAACGATCTTTTACTACCCAACTGCCCATTTATGGTCTGGGTTGTGTTTTATTCTTTGCAGGCTTACTTCATGCATCGGGAGTAGAGCTGGCATCGGGCCACAGGCACTCTGACCACACAGGAGGGAAAGGCGAGGAGCAATGTGTGGCTCGCCCGGTCCAGGGTGAGAGACAACAGCTGTCTGGCATGCATAGAGTCCTCAGCACACCTGCATCACAGAAACACACACAAACAACAAAAATTTGCATTAGGCAATTTCAAATTACCACTTTGCCAGTGCACATCATACCCCTGATCTTAATCTGAGCAGAACAACAGGGCAAAAAAAACCTCTCTAGTTTTGGTGTGAAACACAAAAAAATGAAATGCAGCAAGTGCTGAACATTGAAATGCAAACCTAAATATGCAGAGATGATTGTGGATCTTTAAGGGGTCGACTGGCCTTCAAAAAGCAGCAGCCAGGGTCCACATTGTCTCTAATTGAGGCACAAGAGCTGGCAACTACCTGGCTTCATGCAGCAGATATACACCATATTATGCACATGTTAAATCTGCAGGAGAGGTTTTATGGTAATGAGATTGTGGATGGCCCACAGTCATTAGGAAGAATATATTATTCCTTCTAAGGCCAAGCTAGGAGTTATTCTTCACAGACAAAATCATCAAATACAAGGAAATGAATAGGGAGAGTCAGAAGGCAAAAAAGGCTTTAAGAAGAGGAGAAGAGTAAACAGACATAAGCAGAATGCAGCATACATTAAATAAGTTATTTCTTTGTACACATAACAAGGCTCAGAAATGACACCAGCAAACTAGTCACCTACCTGCTCTATATCAAGTCAATGGGTCATTATGTGTAATTATCATTTGTGATTGTGTGTCCTTAAACTAATCTGCTTTTGCAAATAGTACCTCAAAGGTTTTAGCTTTTTGTCTATAACTCATACTGACATTTTTAAACATTGACATTTTAAAACTTTTTAAACGTAATGAGGGGTTTAGCTTTTTAACTGACTTTAGACAGAAATGTGATTATTTCAGTTTGCTCAGCTCCTTATCAGAGACCAGTGGGTCAGAAGAAAATAAAATACTAATGTTTTGTTTTTCTATCTTTAGTCTTTTCGGCAATTCAACAATTTAAGAGCTTCTCAAACCAGCAAAGGAAAGAATGACCCGGAGTCAGCTTCAGCGTAATACTAGGAAAGCTAAATGTGCACTCTTTTTTCTTTTTTCGTATCCTTTTAAGCTTTGAAGATAGATATTTGATTAGATTAGATATCTTAAAATACCAGTGAGGATCTTAATTCTTTTGTTAAAAATAATAAATGAAGACCAACACCCACTAACTGTTGGTATTACTCTTCATTTAGGTTTTTTAGGAGGGTAAAAAAAGCAAAGACTATATTTTCTCACAGTGTGGCTCTCTTTATAGGCAAGAAAACATATTTCAATATCCATCTAAGATCAGAATTAGCAGGTCAAAGCATTACAAATCAGAGATCAGAAATCGGCCCCAGGTCTGTAATCTGTGAATCTCTAGGGTTCCTTTGTTTGTTTGTTATGCACAGGTTAGGATGGTGAAGGCCTGGAGCAAGATGTGTCTTCTGATTAGCTGGATGCCTGCTGTGGTAGCTGGACTGTCAGAGACCTCCCAGCGAGCTTACCATGAACACCAAATTATTCCTAACACTGGCTCCAGCCCACACCAGCTTTCTTGCCACGCTGCCCCCCTCATTTCACTTGCAATCACTGTCCCTCATTTTGACAAATTTGAGGCAGAAATTACTAGGCATAGGTTGAAGGAGTAGGAAAAGTACTCCAAGATAAAAGTCTTTTTCTAGCTGGTCAATTCAGCAAATAATGCTTGGCTTTCACTTATCGATGAAAGAGGCTCTATGTATTCACAAGCCCAATTAGCGCAACAGAAACTGTTTAGAAACATTTACTTTCTTTTGAAATGCCTTTAATTATCCTTAGAGAAAGATAATCACCATCCAGAGCTGCCTGCATCTGTGTGACAATTACTACCCCTCCCAATCCCCCTAAAACCACCACTGCCGTCATTCACCATGTGGAACGCTGCATTTCAGCTAAGAACAAAACAGGAAAAAGAACCGACATGAAGTGAAGCTCTTGTGCCTTGTGTAAAATGCTAATTACAGAAGCACAGGGGGGCTTGTTTAACCAAATCCTTTGTTAAGATCCAGATAAGGAATAGGATTCAATTCAGACTGAAGATAGAGGGTCAGCCTTCCTTGCAATAACTTTAGTCATGATCAAGGATGATTGGCTCTTTCATAATTTTCTAATGTTTGCCCATAACACTAATTCTCAAACTCATTAGAGGACAGTCTGCTTCGTGATAATGATTATTAGGGTTTCATTCAAGTCTTATCTAATCATCCTATTTCTCTTTCTTGTTTGTTATTGCATTGTCTCAGAAACTTCATAGTGATTTGTATCTTGGTGGTCACATTCAAATGAACACATTCATTAGTTACATTGAAACCTAATATAAGATTTGAACCTTTTAAGTTCAAAAATCTTATCACATATAAGGGATTTCTTATAGTAGTTTTGATAATGTCATTCTTAAAAAAAGTCCTCAATATTTCTTCCTTTGAGGGAAGTTGTCCACTGTGAATTTGCAGGCTGTAACGTATGCAATGTCTTCCCGTTACTGATTGAAATTCTTGGAGTGAACTAGTCATAAAATCTAAATACTAGTTCATATCATAACTGTCTGCCTATATTTAATTGTGGAGTTGGCAGCTCTGCTTGCAGTGTTTCTGCCAACTTAGACTTAACATGATCAAAGTGTACAAAGCCAGAGAAGAGCTCATTCAAAAATGGTGCCATTTTTGTACAGTACTTTATACAAAATCTATTTTGCTTCTTTTCTTTTAATGTTCTTTGTTGTTTCTGCATTTATTATTAATTTTTTCTTCCACTTGCTCTGATTCTGTTTTATTTTCCTATATTTTAATCATGTAAAGCACTTTGCATTGTCTTTATACTGAATTGTGCTATACAAGTAAATTTCCCTTGCCTTGCCTTGCCCTTTTTAAGATAAGTTGTGCACCAATTGAATCAAACCCTTTTGATGGTAAACATTAGATTGCTTTCAAAATGAACAATATGTAGTTTTTTTTTAACCAAAACCAGTGCTGTACTTGTACTACTACATAACTTATTGTTTTGTGTTTTCATCTAAAAGTTTTTAACTCTGGCCATCAAAACACTGGTGTTATCGCAGCACTGCTTTGGTGCTGCAAAAGAAAGAAAAACTTCAGGAGCTACAGACAGCCTAATTGAGATAACAGTCATGTTTAAGACTTCAGAGTTTAGTTTTGATATCTTATTTCAAACAATAAAAAAAACACAAGCGCCCAAAAAAAAACCAAAATAATAAATTAAACGTTGAGCTTTCAAAATAATAGTGTCAGATTACCATCATATTATCAACCAGCTCTCTCTTATCTTCCCAGACTTTTTCTATATCCTCCATGCTAGAGTTTAAGTAGGTCAGGATGCTGCTTACAACTGGGCTCCCAGCTGATTATCTTCCGCTAAACCCATAAATACCATTTCCGACATGTTTCCAGCACTGCTAATTTGAATGAGAAATCAGCTGATTAGGACTCTGAGGTGTTCACAAGCACCACATGTTGTTTAAAGCAAGATAGTGCTGGTGATATAAGGGCATCTTTCTGCACCATGTGCTATAATCCTTAACAAAAACAGAATTAACAGTAAAATATGACAATATAAGCCAAATTGTATTTCTTAAACCACATTTTGTCAATCAATCCCTCCATGTGTCCCAGAATCTGCAGATTTGACTGTCTACTCTGGGGTTTGCCTTTGTCAGTGAGCCCCAGAGCGACTGTGGCTATAATGTATTATAATGTAGAATGACTAATTGTAGTATAATGAAGCTTAAGTGAAAATTCAATCTGGGAGATTCTTATCAGCTTCACCTGAACCCCCTGCGATGTCCCTTGATCAGCTCCAGCCAATCAACTTGGGCCGCTTCCATCCACCTCAACCTCATCTCCTCCCTCATTCTCAGTCCCACTCACCCTCTAGCTTATTCCACCACCAGTGTCAGGGCCTCGGGGGGGAAAAGACTCCACTCTACATGCCAGAACACACCAGATCCGATCTGATCCGACAGAAAATTATGTCGGACGAAGTTGTGGTGTTTAGCAATGATATGATTTTCTGCAAGGGTGCTTGTGTAGATCCTACTTAGATAGAGCCCAGGTCTATTCTAGTTGGACTACGCAGCAATTCAGCTGCAATTTCATGGGTCTGACAGGAAGAGAGACGCGATAACAAAGTAAAACACATCCGCTTTGGGGGGAAATACAAGAAAAAAAAATATGTTATTTGCACCGGGAAACAGTCAGTTTTGGAGTCGCACATCGCGTATATAGAATAGCAGGACAGACTTGTGCAAGGACAATTAATGAAACATAAAAAAATTAATACTTTATCTATGATAGGAGAAAAAATAGTTACGTAAAATAGTTAGAGATCTTCTTCGAGCCTTACACCAAAAAAATAAATGAGGGCAGACAGAGCAGTTAAGTGCGGCGTATCTCTCACACCTCTTTATAAAAAAAAGAAAGGAAAAACTTGGATAAACTTCCCAGATCTCTCTGAGAGTCACCTCTCTGCCTAAGTCAGCATATAAACCAATCCCACGCTGTTTATTGCAGTTTTTTTCTTTTCTTTAGACGTTCATCTCATTATAATGGACAGACTCGTTAAGTGGGGCTTTGCTTTATAGAATGCGCCACTGATTTTTTAATTTCTATTAAATTTTTCCATTAAAAACTTTTCATATTCTGTTTAATTCAAATGTGGCAATTTTTTTTTATTTGTGTATTGCACAGAAATGAAAAAAAATCTCAGTAGATCTGCCCATGCTGCCTAGTCGGAGCCTCTCTACGAAGTCACTGTGACATGGAAAACAATCGGATAGGAGATTAAAAAGTAGTACACGACCGGTGTGTTCTGGCCTTAATCCTAATGCAACCGCTTTTGCAATTTACTTAATCATATTTAGTTACTTTAACACAATTGTTTTATGTCCTACCCTGCTAACATGAAACAATTGCGTTAAAGTAAATAAATATGATTAAGTAAATGGCAAAAACAGTTACATTACTATTTTCAGTGTAGGTTATTCAAGTGAATGTTGATTTACAGCATCAAAGTCTTCTGCCAGGGCCTGAGTGCCAAATAACTTATTTCATTTATGTCATTATCTGCTTCTGTCTCATTAAACCCCAGTCGGCCTCGGCAGATGACCGCTCACACTAAACCTGGTTCTGCTGGAGGTTTCTTCTGGTTAAAAGGGAGTTTTCCCAGTGCAGGGACTGCAGACAGCGAATGAGTCCATGCAATCAGCTGGTTTTCCTTATAAAACCTTTTGAAGAATTTGATTGTGTAACCTGTATAAATAAATTCAATAACACTTTTCTAATAACAGCTTTTCTCTGTGTGTGACTCTTTAGGTTGAGATGCCCTTTTGGAGTCCCCTGACATGAAAAAGTGCTATAAAAAATAGAGACCATTTAGTATAAAAAAATCATATCTTTTTCCATTGAAACAAGAAGTTACTCTGACAACAATACTCTTTTGTTACAGCGGAAACAAAACCAAAATGTTCTTTTTACTAGCAACTATGTGTTTAAAGGGGAAGCACAGAAAGTATAATAATCTATTTTACTGAAAATATTTATTTTCCATAAAGACAAATTTAGTTATAGACAGTGCTACTACTTTAATAAATCTTTGACAAAGAAACATGAGCTATGTAAAACTTTGAAATGGCAGGTCAACTTTTTACCAAATGATTGAAAATAAGCACAAAGGGAATCATGACTAAATAAGCCTCTATGCTGTTGTCTTAATATATAGTCTTACTTGTCAGGGTTAAATCCTTCCAGTTCCTCCAGAAAGATGTTGCTGCTGGTCACTGTGTTGTCTTGATTTGGCATAATGAGAAACTTGAGAATGGTTCCTCTGCTCGACCCAAGAAAGAGGACGGTGCGGTTTCTATATGGACCAGCCTCTGTGTCCACTACTATTTTATTCAACTGGTACCTACACCACAGAGAGAGACAGAGTGCTGCATTAATGCCACAGACTGGAGTAATCCATTTGAGTCCATCTATGTATGAAAGCTAAAAGCATTGCCAAGAAACTCATGATTTAACAGATTGGTTAAGGTGAACTAGACAGAGTCTGGTGCAGTGAAAACAAAATCTGCCATTTGTCTGGAGTAACTGGGAAATGAAGAGAAATCCACTGAGTAAAAACTGCTTATCAAATTTGCATAGTGAACTAATTATAACAGACATTTCAGTCATAAATAATATCAGTCAAAAGAACAGCTTTGAAAAGAAAGAATAACAGAGGGAAGTTGAGCTAAATAGAGGCAATGGTGCGCACTGTACTGTACTGTACTGCACTGTACATATACAGTACAGTGTATCCTGTAAACCTATTCTGGGGTAGCATGGCATGGCATAACACAGCAAATGGGCTAAAATAAGTATAAGCCATAGGGTAAGACACTTCAGTGTACTTTCAGCTATGGCTTCCATTAAACCATATTTTTTAAGTGTGTTAAGGTTGTGATGTATCACTGGTATCGTACTGCAACCTGGCAGTGCCTCTTGCTAAAAAATTACAAAAAAATGCTAAACTTTCTTTTTTTTTAGTTTATGTTTTTCACACTTCTAATATAATAATAGTAAGACACACTCTTGTGAATGAAGCTATTTCGTTTAACCATTTCATTTCCACTTTAAGGGCAGAATAATAATATTGAATAATATAAATGTCTAAAAGCATTATAAAGCAGAAAATAAATCCGTTACTTTTTAGTAACTTGTAGATAATTCTGGTTAGTCTGATTTTATTCATAACATATAATAATACCTTATATTATTGTATATTTAATTTCCTAAAAATAACAATGAAATTACAATAGAAACATTTCTTTCAGAAATTATTTTTAACTACCTGATGAATCAGTATGCATAACAGCCGATCCACAGAGTTCTTACCTGACCATGGTTCTCACAATCCAAGGTCTTTGTCCGAGTGATGGAACAGCTTCATCCATCAAAGGATGTGTCTTGACAAAGTTCAGCATCTCATCGGGAAACGAGTTGGAAGAATTAAACTTTGATCCTTGAACAGCACAGCCACCCGGTCTGGAGACAGCAAGACGGAGGACATCAGAAAGAGTGGAGTGAAATTATCTGACAAAATCCTGTCATTCATTCCTCTGTAATAATATATTATTAAAAGGACAGTCTAGACTGTGAGTGACTCATATTCATACAGCATTCGGCAACACTCAAAAAAGTGTTATGTTCAAAACTCTCCAACATTGTTTATACAAAGTCGCTTTTCCCTTTTCTTTAACTCGAAGCTAAAAACCTAAGCAAAAAATCTGAGGAAAATTCAGTCATGAGATGAAAACATCACACAGTGACTTGCAAAAGTATTCACACCCTTAAACTCTTCCACATTTGTTTAATTACATATTTATAGCAAATTTATGGTGTGGTTGTGCTATAATCTTTATTTTTAGAAGATGGATTGAAAGGGGCTCTGTAAGCCCGGAATATTGTTTTCTAATCAAACCTTGCTTTTAACTTCTCCATATCTTTCCCCCTAACCTGCCCTTTGCTTCTCTGGCCTTGTGTAGAATCTCATTAATGTTCTCAAGCAAATCTTGGATGCTTTCCCACGGCGTAAACAATGGACAGTCTGATTAAACTGGTTCAATACTTGTTAACATGAAAATATCTGGAGCTTTAACTGTGCCATTGTACCATTTCCCTTTATGTTCACAGTGATTCAGTTCTTTGTGTTGGTTTATTACAAAAAATCCCAATAATATAAATATCATTGCTGTAATAAGTGATAAAATATGAATGAGTTTGCTAGATACATCCCTTATTGCAAACTTTTTTCCAAAAAAATTGCTTCTTTCTGAAGCAGCGTCATGTTTCAGAACACAGCTATCGCCCTCCCCTAAGCTTGCCGATATCAATCTGATAACGCAGGTGCATGTATTGAGCATTGCCATCTGGCTTTACCTTGGCTTTGGGATGAGTTCATCTGGAACAGGCGTCCAAATAGACTCTGGAGATTTCTGCTCCTTAAACCTTCCATCAAACACGGCAGCCAGCTGCTCCATGTCAAAGGCGCACACAGCCGAACCTGGTATGCTGGAGAGAAGGAGACAGGATGGTGAGAGAGAGAGGCAGATAAAACACTTTGAGCTGACACAGAATGACTGTCAGCCCCATGGCAAGCAGGCTCTGCTCCCATGCAAGGTTGCAGAGAGAAAAAGTGACAGAAAAGGGAAAGATAATGGGTTATATATCCATCCTACAAAATCCTTACAGTTAAACTAAATTCAGATGTAAAACCTTTTAAAGAATTGGAGCCCAGCTCAGATGACCAATTACTTTTTATTATTTTCTTTTACTTTTCAGGAGCTAATGGGAAGCACAAAGGAAATTGTGACTGATAGAGACAGAGGATAAACAAGAGACGCTATCAGCTCTGGTCTATAGTTTATAGATGTGCAGCAGAAAAAAAGCTATAATAAGCTCAAGAAAAAAGAAATGCTGCTGGAAATTCCTGGAATATAAAGCAACATTAGGAAATGAGTCACTCAAAATTCAGTCCCCCACAAAAAGGAGGAGGAGAGCAGATTCCAGTAAAGGAAATGAACCCATGAAAGTATTCCAGTAAAAAGACCGGTGCAGCTCAGAGGCTGTTTAACTACTCCTGAACCCGGTCACTTGGAGCCGTGCATGTGCTCAGAGAAGAGTTTGGCGCACCCCCGCGTAAATGAAGACAATGAGACATGACAAATTCAGAGGCGTCCAAAATGGTCGGGCTGTTTCTGCTGAGCCTGATGCTACGTTTCTGTATTTTAGGCTGAGAGAAGAAAAGAGGAGAGCACTGTCAGGATGAGATAAGAGCTGAGTTTACAGAAACAAAGAAAACAGCATGTTTACTGCTCCACTCTGTTCCTACACTGTCATCATCAATGAGTAACTAACTACTGTACGTACATGGAGGAAAAGCTTCAAACTACTTCAGAAATATACACAGAGAAGGAACCACTTGTTATCGCCTGCTACATGAGTTCAAGCTGTTTATTTCCTTTTCTGGTTTTCTTTTTATAATAAATGTCCAGCTGTTGATTTGAGTCCTTTCTGGAATATGTTCTGAGCTCAAAGTCAGTTTCAGAAGTGTGTTGAAAAGCATTGCTTGAGGGCTGGATTTCCTGGTTGCAGCTGGGAGCCGTGCTCCCCTGATGTGCAATTTGATTGGGTCAGGCTGTCGGCCCTCTGTGCTTATCATTTACACACATTTACAGTCAAACTCAGGCCTGGTCAGGGCAGCAGAGTGGTAGTCATACAGAGCTGTGGAAAAACTATCTGACCCCTTTATAGATTTCCTTGTTTGTCACCTTCTTAAGTTTCAGATCATCTAATCAAATTGTAATAGAATTTAAAAAGAAGTAAAAAAAAATCCTCAAAGAGAAAGTCAATAATGGTGGAGGCGATCTGGAGGAACAGGGCTTCCTTTCCTAATGGCTTACAGTCTGTAGCAGGACAATGATTCAAAGCAAACCGAGTAATGAGTTTATTTTTTATTTAAAAATAGTTTATTAATCCCAAAATAAACAGCTGTTCCACGATGCAGCCACTGTAAGAGGTCTTATTCCAGAGAGAAATACATCCACTCACATTTTGCACATAAATCTCACTGAGATGCTGTGGCTGGACCTGATAACAGGCTGGTGAGTCTAAAAGATTCTCCAATATGAATGAAATACTTTAAAACAAGTCATGAAAAAAGAGAAATATAAAAACATATATTGCTAGTTATTGCAAAAGTTGTCACCTATTAGTTATTAGGTTTAGGATTAAATTATGTTTTATCCTTTGTCAGGCTTTGTCCTGTAATAAATGAAATAATCATTCAAAACTTCCTTTGTTGTATTTATTCAAGTTATCCTTGTCAGGTATTAATAATTTAGTTGGCGATCTGGAACATTTAAGTTTGACAAAAAGCAAAATAAACAAAGTCTCTAAGGTCATATGCTTTTTTCATAGCCCTTTATATGTGGATAAAACAGACTTTTATAAAGGACTGAAGGCACCAGATGTTATATGAGTGAAGTTTGCCAGCCCTGCCAGGTTTCTCTACCTCTCCAGCCTGGTATCACTTGCAGGTCACTGGGTTTGCCCTATGTATGACTCAGAATCTAACGAAAGAAAGCAAAAAGGCCTCCAGCTGTTTTCCTCTCTGAACTCTCTTTTATTATTCTCATTGCCACCAGTCGTTTCTCTCACTTGTTTGCCTCATTCATGTTTTAGATTCTCCCCATAATTCCCTTCAGTCAGTTTTTTGTTTATTTTTCTTTCCTTTGGTTCTTCATATTTATCTGTTCTGCGTTGAAATACATTTTACTGGCTGAATGCAGATGTCGACTGAGCAGACTTATTGTTAAAAGAACTTCCAGACACCACGCATGAAATTATTTGTGTTATCAGCCATGTGATAGGCTGTGGAGTTAAGGAAAAAAAACAGCAGGAGGAATTAAATCTAATCCATTAAAAGCAAAGTGCAACTAGAAATGTTCCACATTACTTAACGTAATTAAAATGAAGATCTGCTAAATCAATTATCTCAAAGAAGGGTACTTAATCTATACAGAAACATTTCTAAAACAGCTCATAGGAGACTACCACAGTTGATAATACTATATTCTTTAACAAATAACAGTCATTAAAAAGGACAAACTGGCCGCCACTGACATCATAACTTTTGTATGTTCTAACTCCATTCTTTGATATAAACAAACCTAGATGAAGGGCCAATCATGCAAGCGATACTGGGGGTATTCAGTATTTATATCAGCGGCAATCTTGCAGCAAAGACCATGACAATCATTACAGACAGAAAAGCATCAGAGTGGATAAGCCAAGTTCCATGCCAACATTATTCAAAAAGGCCATCGCTCGGGAATTTAATTTAAACAGATTAGGAGTACAAAAACATGATGCAACATCCAGACACAGTTTACACCATTTAATTAGCTTAATAATATGATTCAGCATATATTTGTAAAATAAATTATGACATTTGTAAAACTGTCCAATGGAAACGTGACTGCTTTTATGACAGTGAGGGCCCAACAATGGTCAACGTGGCCCAATGGAGGTCAATTTTAAAAAGAAATGTTTGTATAAAATTCTTATTTTTCTAGTGACATGGGTTATTCTCCTGTATCCATTTCTCAGTAAATATCTTATGACCTTGTTATGTATTCCTTTGCCAAGTCTGCTTGTGGGCCCTTAGGGGGTCTACTCTGCACATCTGTGCAACCTTCCCCAGCATCACGTTCTTCATGGCATCATAAACCTGTTCTCCTCCTGCTCCTCCTCACTGCCGTGTCTTTTTCCCAAAGGGACATCCTGCTGTCACACAGAATTCTCCACATGCAAAGCCAGAGATGCCATCCTGCTTTCAGGATACACAAGATTTCAATTACAATTATACAGCTCTATTTAAACCCGAAGAGCCAGCGACAGTCGACACAAGTGATATTTCCTACTGGAGGAACAAAAAACAGCAAATATGCAAGGAGGAAACGTCTTTGCTCTGCTGCTCTAATGCTCATAATCTCAATGGTATACTTTTAAAAAAAGACAAGTTAAAGAATATCTGTTTAAATGCAGGTTGTTTGTGGTGGTAATGGGGAGAGAGGACACAGGGGGAGATGAGTTCCTCTAGAATGTAAAGGGAAAACAATGAATCATTTTTACTCTTCCTTAGTTCAGCTTGGTGTACAGTATGTTGTAGTGGGCCAAGTGAAAGGAGTGAACAGCTATTACCTTCCTCCATGGTCCTGCTTCATGCTGTTTCCACTACACTCTGCCAGCCAAGGCAATTTGTCTGGCAAGCACTTTGCCGGTGTGCCACAGCAGGCCACACTGGGCCTAAGGGAGTTTTTTAGATTATCACATGTTTCCTCTAAAGATTTCTGCTCATTTTCCTCCACCATACATATGTATATCTTTTCTTTAAGAACCTCCATTTCCCAACCTTGGCTGGCACTCATTTAAAGCAGGACCCAGGGGCAGGTTACCCAGGCAAGGGCGGCCTCTTTGTTTGTTTAGCTGGTCCTCGGTGCAGAGATGTAAAAGCTTTTATCTGGGAACCATTGTAATTGTTTTGGAAAATGTGCTTATTTGTGTATGAGTCTACATATGTGAGGCATCCTTCAGACTCTGCAGGTAGCAGCCCACCCTCTCACTATGTATTCTTCTAAACAGGGAGATAAGATGCAGCTGATGAAACAGTTTAAGGTCTCAGGGAGCGCGAGGCACACGTGTTGTCCATTACTGACTTCCTTGTCCTTGGATTCCCATCCTGATCTTCCTTTTGATCACAATGTCTCACTTTAAACCATTAATATCTTCGCTACATTTACCTTAAATACATTTTTAATTCTTTATTATGAATCAAGTAATTCAAAATTCATCCCCCCTACTCCGACTAAGGAGACAAATATTGGCAGAAAGAAGAAATAACAACACCAGCTTGTTAAAATCGAGGTTGAGAACATAGAAGTGGTTAAATCCCACAAATATGTGGGTTTACATATCAACAGTAATTTGGACTGGTGTTTGCATACAAACGAGGCTCTCTTTCTTGAGAAATTATTAATATTTTAATGTTTGCAGTCAGATTCTGCACATTTTCTCCCAATCTGCTGAAGCCAGTGGTATTCTTTTGGAACAACAAGGTTGCACACATCTTGTGGACCTTGTGCTTTTAAAAAAATACTAAAAGTCTTCTTGTTTATAATGTCTACCAGAAGTTTTGTTTCTTTAATAACTAGGTGCTACCAGATGCATGAATTTCCATCGGGGATGAATAACTAATCTATCCTTTTGTCCTCTAATGTCAGTAAGATAGATGCTATTGAATAAAACTGAAGATGTTTAATGTGTATATTCTACATAATAAGCATATACTGTATGCATAATATGCTTGGACAACCAACTAAAGCTAAGTAGGTCTTTCTAATACCATAACCCTAAAAAATGTAGATATGTTTACTTAAAACTTTAAAAAAATACAGAGTACACAGCGAAACCCTGGTCCCATCTAACCAAAAGAACTTGTTCTGTTGGAGGTTTCTTCCTGCTAAAGGCAACTGTTCCTTCCAAATGTCACTACATGCATTCTTGGTATGAGGGATAGTTGCATAATCAACGATACATAATGCAAGTGGTTGTCCATTGCCACTGCATGCACATTAGGGGATGAATTCAATGACTTGATGCCATCTGTTGAGTTTCTTTATAGGACGCTTTTTAGCTATCTATTTGCATGATATAATTGCACTGACTCTGTAAACTGCCTGAGCTGGCTTGTGTTGTAATAAACCAAAAATAAATAAACCAAATATAACTCAACACTGGCTGGCAGGTTAGATTTTCCTAATTTTTATGATAACTCCAAACATACTAGTAACTCTTTGCTGCTTTTTTTTTGTAACCATGGCTTCCGGAGCTATTTGAGTATTTATTTATTTATTTTTGTTTTCTTTACCATTTACCTGACTGTGTGTCATAACTACGTAATTATTAGGCCTTGTTCAGTTTAGTGGCCTGTAACCAAAATAATTATCCTTCCAAGGAAACAAAGCATTACTTTTTTTTTTTTTTTTTTTTTCTGAAAGAGACCTTACAAAAATCCTAGGTAAGGAACTTAGACGCCATACTGGGTTTAGCAAGCGAGCATATAAAGTTCCTTGAGTAGCATCCTTAAAAATGCATGACAAGGATTTTACACTGTGGAGAAGGAGTCAGGGGGGTAAGCAAAAATAAATATAAAAACAAAGCATTGACTCTATGTGGCTACATAAATATATTGGTGTGCATTAGTACTATTGTAATTAAAGCACAGCTCTGTGTTTAGATCATAATGCTTTTAATGTCATTCTGTCACATCCTATTTCTTACTCTGCTTTATTCTGGTTTACTGCTTGTAGTGTTAGAGCCTCTAAATCTCCCACAGTCTACATGTCATACTATGTGGGACTTACATTACTTGTACTCGACCCACACCCCCTCCGCACCCTCAAACAGCCACTTGGATTTTTCTCAAGCCCGTCTTGGTGTGTAGGAAGCCATGCTGTTTTCGACTTCGTAGAAGAAGGAACAAACAGCAGTAGTTCACTAAAATGTGAATGTGGCAACATGTACATACAGGGGGGGTCTACCTTAGTCTCTGAAGGAAGTTTTCTTTTTTTTTATTCATGTGGATACAGCTGTTCTTGAATCTCAAAGAGAATTTTCCAGGATTTCCTGCATAAATGTCCATTTTCATTCAAAGAAAGCTGATATTTAGGTTATGTGAGGCACGTTCTCACTGGGCTTTGGTTCGCCTAGGGACTGACAATTAAATAAATTATATTGTTATAATGGGAAATGAAAATAAGTCATATTTTTTTCTATTTAAGTTAATCAATAAAAAAAATATATGCACTAAAATTTGATTAAAATTGCCTGTCTGTCCAGGCTAGTGTAATGATTTGACATAGTTGTGTGTCAGTCACTCACATGACCTAAAACTCTCAGGAAAAATCTACAATTTGAAGAGAAATGTTGTAATAAAACACAAAATTGGACTCCTCTGTCTAGTATAAACTAACGATTTAACATAAATTGTGGGATGAATGTTATTAATTTTGTTTTACATTTTTTGGTTAGTAGTACATTTATTAATGGTCCCAATGAGAGCATATTTGGGAAGATGGGGCAGCCAGACAAACTCTCAGAAGCTTAAGCTGATATAGCTCAGGACTCTGATATAGCTCAGGATACTTTCTTCTGTCTTTAGTGAACAAGGTGGAGAGAGATACAATTGCTGGACATTATTCTTTTCATTATTAATAGAGGTTTTTAAATAATAGTGAAATTTGAGTACATGTCTGAAAGAGAACACGCACATGCACATAGTTGTGATGTACCTGTTTGCTGGTGTGGAGAACACGCCGAGGATGATGTCCCTGCCGTGCATCCTGATGATCGGGCTGGTGGAGTGCAGCAGGTTAAAATAGAAGTGAGAATCTCCAGGTATGGAGCAGTTGAGCCGGGCTTTAAGGAAAGACGTCCACTGCTTCTCCAGTACGCGCTGCGAGCCACCTTGATCGCGTTTGCACACTCTGGCAACGCGCGACACAACCACCTGTGAAAGGCAGGCCACAGCTAGCTTCATGACAGGTCTTTATAATACAGATAAGACCCTCAACACTAATGATAAGAGAAGAAAGTTTGAGCTTTATCTCAAAAGGAGACATTCAAAAGCTCCCTTCAGCTCCACTGTGAAGAGTCATTTGCATGTTATTTGTGATCTGAAACCCTGTTTTGACAGATTATTGTTTTATAATGCTAAAATCAGCATCAATTATTCATGAAAATGTCAGTGAATCTCAAAACTGCTTTTTGAACACACAATAGCAATGCTGTTTCAGCATACATTTATTGTGCTTTCTGCAAACATGTCAAAGTAAAAAAAAACTTTTGCATACCCTTCTCCCAGCTAATTTATTAGATTTGGCACCTCACATGCTTTTTAAAAGTATTCTTTAAAATAAAAAAATTAAAAATTTCCTCCAATGAAGATGTTTTATCTGCTCAGCAAGGAGAAGACTAATTTAAGCTTTTATAATTAAGCTTTTCTCAGGTTTACACAGGTGCAGGTTTTGTATTGTTAGCTTAGATTTGCCTAAAAACAAGCGAAACAATGAAATGTCATTGTGGCTGTAAGTAAAACAGGTGATATTCACATTCAAATAATAGTGCTGGTTTAGCATTTCCATTCATGTTTGTTTAAAAAAAAATAAATTCATATATTCCCCAGAGATCCTTTTCAAGGGTGCGCTGAAAGGACATTTGGTTCTCTGCATGAAATATACATCTGGATGAAATATATTAGGACATATATTTCCATCTGATTTCTCTTTGTACCTTTTCCAAGTAGTTGAACTCCATGGCTATCTCTCTGAAGAAGAAGTAGATGTGAGGTCCCCACTCCACAGCACTCACAAAATAGGGCTCTGTGTTAGTGGAGGGAGAGAATTTTCATGAGAAAGTATGCATCCAAAACATGTCCATTTGCAACATCAATTCCCACAACAGTAGAGAAGCACGAGGGCAGTGGCATACAGTAGGCCTAATTTCATTACATGCTGAAAGGGGGATTTCACAGCAAATACTAAGAGAATTATGTCTCACTGGCATTTCTGAGAAAAGACTTTTATGCTGATTTTCGGTAATAATTCACTCTGGACATTCTAAAACATGTATCAAAGGTAATATTTCAAAAGTTGCGGATGGTTTTTGTATCCAGCAATCAGCCAGCTGAGTTAAAGCTTAGCTGCTGACGCATCCATCAGTCTGCTGAGTAACATGGGTGTGCATTTGAGCCAGTTCAACTGTGACTGTGCCAGGGAAGGAGGGCGCGATTCTGAACATAGGGCACACTGCAGCAGGGGAGGGATACGCTTAGAAGCTCAAACATACAAGCACATCTTGACAAGCACGCACATACACACAAGGTGTCTGCTGGTACCTCTGAACCACTTGGAGTCGTGCTTGACGGTGCGTAGAGCGGGGATGTCCCCAAGGCTACGATAAATCACCGCATCAATGGCCAGGAAGTCTGTCACCGTAGCTGTAAACAGATTCCCCTCTGAAACACATAAACATAAACATATAGTGGTGAGCTACACAACCTAGAAAAGAAACAATAGACAAAAAAAGATGCAGGAATTGAGAGAACTTCTGGTCAGGCTGAAAATATTTCTCTTGGCTTTGATTTTTATTTTATTTTTGAGTTTATTGGAAATCTGACATATTTGGGTGTTTCATTTTCATTTTAGTCAAATATTGTCTAAAGGACAATCAAGCCTGTAGTAAAACCACTGACATGAACAGCTTGAGACAGTCTTTATAGCACTTTATTATGTGTTAAATTTCATTAAAGACATTTCTCTCTTTGCTTCAAATTGTCAGATATAATCTTTGTCACTTCCTGCAAAATTAACAGGACAGCATTATACCTCTCCAACCCATGTTTTCCAGGTGAGTTGGAGAGGTTTGATTGTTACAGTATGAGGCTATTCAACTTTTCAAGTTCCAAAATACAAACTGCATTACAAAATTCAGCTTTGCCTACATTTTCATACAGGAATTATTTGGGACTGCTTTGTGTAAATGTTGCTTAGGTTAAAAACCTATTTTGGTCAACTTCAACCCTTATTTGGCACAGTTTATACAAGTGTAATACAATATCAGTTTGTTTTGATCACACGAAACTATCGAAATAATGACGAAATAAGCATGTCAAAATAGCTCAGAGTGACCTCTGCCTACAGTATCAGTTATCTTTCAGTCACATAACCATATTTCCTTACAGATGACTAGGTTATTACTTTAAATCAACTAGGGATTGAGTTAGAAATGACATTTTCTAAAGGTATGCAGAAACCAATGCATTTTCTGCAGGAAACTGTCCATGGCAGACTGCTCTTTTTAGTCAGTGAAAAGGTCAAGTTATGAAAAAAAAATAAAAAATGGACTGCAAATGTACAAAACAGGGAAGCTGCACAATGGGAAGAATTCAGATGTTTTAGTCAAACTTAAGTACGTACATGTTTTTTTTTCCATCTGTTCTGACACAAATTTTCTGAATTTCTAAAGAAGCCCAACAACCATGCATGAACGAGCCCAAAACAAAAAAATAAAACCTGATTTTGAAAGGCCTTATTAGCCATTGGATTAAGAATTCAACCAGGTTTCAGATTTAGGACAGAGTGTGTATACAGTAAAAATGATTGAACATTTTTTTCTAAAATTCGACCTTGCAGGTAAAAGTTTTTTTTTTTAACAAAAATTTCAGAGACTGTGTGGATTTTTGTAAGTTTTTCCAGTAAGTTTTTAGAACATATTTGAATGTATGACAATATTTATTCAATTTTTAACCATACCATAAAATGATATAACCAAACAGTTATGACTGAGGAAGAGATCTGTAATCATATGATTATAGGTGCATGTGATAAAAAATATCATTAGAATCTAGATTCTGACCCTCAGACAACTGTATTTCATAGTTTGGTCTGGTCCTCACTAATGAGGTAAGACATGTCGAGTCAAAGACTGTGACAGCTTATGAGTCTGATTTGTCATTTACAGCGGTCGTACAAAAAATGGAAATCAGACCTGCAACTCTATAGAAAGACTTTTTCAAGTTGCAGACATTTAGAACATCTTCCAAAGCTCCGACATGCTTTCTTCCTAACAAGCTTGCAACAAAAGCAGATGGCAAGATGCTAAAGAAAAACTCTTCAAAAGTGTTAACATAGAACACATAGCAGGCTCATTTTACTGCTGATTAAAAAGTGTAAAGAATATGACTTGACAGATTTAACTTTCATAAAGAGTTTCAGAAAGAGGAAACTGCTGTTTTCCAAAAGTAAACATCAGAATGAAAGTTGCAGAGAGAACAACAAGGAGTTCTGGAATAATGTTCTTTGGAAGCCTAATAAATAATAGTTTGCACACTGAACCAGTGAAAATTTGTTGATTTTTTTGCATCTACCGTAATTTTGGCAGGTGTTTACTGAGCCTATTTTCTAGCTTCTCCACTGTTTAAAGAACTTCTGCAAAAGCCTGCAGAATAAAGGATATTTTAGCATGCAGTGAATTAGGATGACTTTCAATATACATTTTGCTGACACGTTTGCTGACCCTATACCTGTTTTGTGCTCCACAAACTTTAGCTGAAAAAAAATTTACAACATGAAAAGTAAATATCTGTAATTAAGATGAAAATGCTGACAGATTAATTTTTACATTTAAACAGTTTGAATATCAGAGCATCATCTACTCAACCATCTGCAGAGACAAACGATGGCTGTCTCAACTAATTTATACCATTATAATGACAAACAATAAAGCAAAATGTTTGTTATCATAAACATGGCAGCTGACGAGACTGAAATATTACTGCAATAAAAAAAAAAATGATGGCTGTTCCATAATGGCTCTCTGCAGTTCATCTGCACAGAGCTGTTGATTACATTATCAGTGAAGTGAAATAAACAAGCAAACTGCAGAAAACTAATTGAAGTTGAACTAATGTGGCATATTATAGTGACAAATTTCAGGTTTTATAGAGGACCTGTGTTATTCTTCGGTTTTTCCATCTTTGTGACAGCTCTGTGGGATCCAGACTCAAAAGAGAAGTGTAGAGCCTGGAAGGAGTGTCTTACCAGCAAACAGAGCAACATTGGCGTGTTTAGGGTCATAAGGGCACCTCGCCATTCCATTGACCGGGTCTCCTATCATCTCCAGAGTATCACCCTGTAAACAAACAAACTTCAATCAACACGCTCTAAACAATAGAAATGCATCTATAGCAGCATAGTGGGGAAAAAAGCCACCAGAGAATGGCAATTAGACTGTTACTGAGAGAGCTAACTAATGATTCAGTGGTGGCAATTAGGCAATAAGAGAGTCGCATTCTCATACATAACTAAGAGACCAACCCCCACACTCAAACACCCACATGGAGTCTTGTTAATAATTCAAACACATTTTAGGCCATATTTACACCATCCTGCATCTATACACTGAAATTCCTGCTTGGGTTACAGCAGATGTATATTTATCAGGTAGATTCAAAACACAATTTAAACTGATTCTGCAGAAAACATAACTTTCAGTACCTCCAATCCACAGTCAAGAGCAAAAATCATTTATAAATGTCATTTCATTAAAACTGAGCTATAAATAAAAGAGCAGCTTGCATTTCTAACTAGTCCCCTGAGAAACAGACAGCCTATCAGGCAGAGACAGGTGTTGTATGGCATCGTTAGTGCCTGACAGATAATGGGCCAGGTTTGTTTCTAAGTTCCACTGTTGCACTAAGTCTGAAATGTGAGAGAGTGGAAATAACACTCATCTAATCTAATCTTTGATGGTGGAATGTTTTTTCCATTTCTCGTTCTGTTTTTCTCGCTCTTACTTGACTGCCTGCATTCCTTTAAAATCTCTGCAAAATGATGTGAAATAAGCTGAACCCAAATATTAATATTTATGGGTATTGTTTTGCCTCCCTTCAGCAAATCTTGGATTGTTACTGTAATTGAGTGAGACAGAGATCGCCTGGGAAGCTGGAGCAGGCTGTGTGGAGGAGGATTCAGGTGAGGCAACTTGATGGGAACAAACCTTAAGATTCTTAGATTTTTTTTAGGGACAATCTGTGGGGTCATTCTCTGAAAAAAAGTGAGATAATTGACTGAATCGTGGTGGGTTGACATTTTGACTTGTTGCTTTACACCTTGGGTCTTATCTTCTTTTTTATAGTACCTTGCAAATGTGTTCAAACCCCTAGAATGTTTTCACACCTAGTATATTATGATTGTTCTATTTAACAACTCTTTGTTGAAGAAAGACATGGAAAAGATTACAGTAAAAGTTATTTTAACTCTTAATTAACAATGATGACATCAACTTATTTCCTTTAATTATCTTGTAGGGCCTTGATATAAAAATTACAGAACAAACCTTCCAGACTGCCTCATAATGGCATGACAATCCAGAACGTACTTTAAAAAATATATAATCATAAATGTTTAAATATTCAATGGAAATAAAGAAAACAGGAAAAGTGTAAATTTTATTTGAACAGATACAAATGGAGGAAATATAAAAGAGAAATATTTATGGTTTTGTGTGCCTTTTCATCCAGGTCTTTATCAAAAAATAAACAATATGCAATAGTATTCTGAGAATAATTAAAGGGTTTCATTTGGTTTTTTTTAAAAAAAGGGTTTTGCATCACCTCACGTGAGCTGGAAGAAATAAAGTCCTAAAAGTAAGACAAAAAATGTTTTAACTTAGCAGACAGGATGAGATGAGCAAAGAGCAGGTTTTACACGTCATCCAGACACAAACGCAGACATGGATGCACAGTTTGTCAGAGTTAAGTGTGCATTACTGTAGCCTTGTATTGGGCAAATGTTTGGGAACATTGCAAGCCTGTCTATTGTGTGCTCAAATTTGTAAATGTGCAACGCAGTTTTTGGGACTTACTGTAACTGCAGGCAGCAGACAATATAATCAAAAACTTTCATGTCTTTGTTAGTATTCTAAACTGATATGGTAAAAAAAAAGCAGTACATAACTTTCAAGTAAAAAAAAAAATGTATCAAGCCAAAATCTAAAAATTGTTTAAAAATGTGTTTTTACTTTACACTGAGAAATGTAAGAACATCGTGTTTAACCACGTGCCTTTAGAAGGATCCTAAACAGCAAAAATAGACTACTTTGGCTGCATTTTGATCTAACTCTAAACGCTGTTCTTCTCTTTGGTCTCAGATGATTTCTCAAGAATAGTGGCCAATAAAAATCTCCTTAAAGACCCCAGCAGGTAGGTCAGCAATAAAGTTTTAGAACAGTTCAAGCAGTGCTGGTTCATAATGCAATATAGCAAGCTCACAAAGCACTGCTCAGTCCATCAAATGAAAGTACTCAAGTCCTACAAACCTAACAGAACATGGAAGTCAACCAAAACCAGACAAGCAAGTGGAGTATTAATCTGAGAGGCAGCAAATAGTTCAATTATAACTGAGCAAAGATTCACGCTTCAGGTGGGAGAACATGTTACAATTAAGCTATTAAGCAGTTTCAGAAAAGCTGTTTAATAGTAAATAGGGTGGGGGTAACAAGAGAAACCTGCAAGAAAGCCTCTAAGCCTCTGCAAGGCAAAACATGGAAATATCAGGTTCAGAGACACCCTGCTTTGGCTCTGACTCATCTTAAGGTATTCTGCTAAGAAGTATGTACAACAATGTCATTCTTTAGATATTCAAAGTTAGTCAAAATATGCTATGGAAGACCTGAAGAGGTAATGGCAAAAGTGGTTTTATCAGATCAATAAGGTTTGTAGTACTAAGTTGACGAAATATAAACAGGTTCATAGGGTCTGAATACTTTAACAAGGCCCTTGATCTGGAACTGGTGAAATTTCTTTAACGCAAGCCGAACAATAACTTAATATCAAACTAGGTAAACAAGTCATGTCTCCAGCCTTTTTCTCTCATTCTACCCTCCTTGACCGTTCACCCCTCTTTTTGTCCTTCTTGATTTTCTGTCTTTGACTCTTTAGCTCAGCAGACCAGAAGGTTTAACCACTGAGAAAAACAAGATTTGTTTCACTGAGGGGCAAGGAACTAAAACTGCCAGACAGAAAGGATAAATAACCTAGGAGGATACTGAGGAGGAAGTCAGCATTGCTTTGAGAGCCAAACAAACAACCCAAATCAATCAGTAAGTCTTCACCCAAGTAGATATACTAATTGCAAGGCTAAATAAAGATCTCTGATTGGGAAAACAAATGATCAGCCATTTATAAACTATGTTAAAGCATTTGTATGGATGAATGTGCTGTTGGCTGAACCACAAAAAGGTCTGCAAAGGTAACTGAAGAACTGGCAGATGAGAGGTTGTTGCTTACTGTGTAGTTGGCACAGAGCGGGTTAAAGGCGTTGGTGCCACACAAAAACAGGCCCCCCTGTCTGCTGAGCAGCACCTTGATAAAGTTGCGGCATTCATCCTGCAGGAATGAAAAAGACAAAGAGAGGGAAAGATTAATGTGCAGCAGGAGTAAAGAAAGGCAAGTGAAAAGGGCCAAAAGAAAAAAAAAGAAAAAACAAACAAGACTGATTATCCAAAACACTGTGAAATGAAGCTTTTTAACTGCCTGATGTGAGGAATTATTACACCATTAACACTGTCAATCATATTGACACAAACTAAAGGAAGCCTGCAGAGACTTTAAGTACCTGCTATAGACATGCACACGTAGGCAGCTTTATTTTGATTGACAGACTGTAATTCAATCCAGTTTCTGGATTTTCTAAACAAACAACAGACTTAAGGCTACATCTAACAAGAGGCAGCAACCATCTGTGTGACCAAATGGAGCTGTGTCTCAGAATCCTTGTTAGGTATTTGTTCTTTAAAATTGGTAGCTTTTATGTTTGTAATGCATCAGATAAGAGGTGATTCCCCCCACTTTGACACGCAGCCATGAATATAGGCCAAAAAACGCTTTTTTTGATAAAACTTAGAGTGATTCAGCTTATATCATCAATATAGCTATTGTTGCTATAAGCTGCTGGAGGACATAGGGACCACTTTTCATCCCTATGCTTCATTCTATTTATTTCCATTCTCCAATTAAGCATTATTATTAGTTCAACTGCTAACAGGTTTTCTTTTAACTATTTTTTGTTTGGCTCCATCAATCTTAACATTAACGCAAACAAGCTTCCCTGTAACAACATTAATAAAGGATCCCCACAGTATTATGCAGCCACCACCATGTGTGACATATTTTACAGATAGAATAGTGGGTTTAGAGTGAATTAGACCAAATTTGGGTGGAAACACTGCAGACCTGTGTAATTTTTTTTACTTGTGTGCCATCAAAGAGGGATAAATACATGAATGCCACTAAAAGTTTTACTTTCGCCGCCTTTGTTTTCTTTCACGAGCGACTTTGTTCTTGCATCTCTTCCAAAATCTCCATATTTAGAGATTACCCCACTGATGTATTATACAACAGTGGTAATCAACAACCAGCGATTCCCCTTCTCCAAATGTCAAGCGTCCCAGCCAGCATGGCACCAGAAGTGACACACACATAGATACAAAAACACCAAATGGGGTCTACTTCAAGACCAACACCTGCACTGATGTCATCTGAAAGAGCAGCGGGGCAGAAGCAGAGGCTGCAGAGGAGGTGATAGCTGATATGTCAAAGCAAAATGTGAGTGTGTCTGTGAGACAGGGATCAGAGAGACAGCAATGATATGAGAGACGAGTGAATGTTATTCCAGATGCTCCACCCTTCCCCCCCTCCCCCCTCCGCTTTCCCACTTTCCTCCCTGCAGGGTTCTCGTTTTTCACCGACAAACCCGACACAGGAAAGAAGGAAGTGTTTTTTTTTTCATCTGTGAGGTCTCAGGGCTTCTGTGCAGGGGTGTTTCAGGGTGTGTCAAGTTTTAGCTGTTATAATCACATATTGCCACATTACTATGTGACAAACAGAGTCGAGGCAGTGGAGGGTTATTTGTGGGGAAGCCTAGCACATGCATGCAGCAAGTGCTTCATATGGTGCCTGTAGCTCATCTTGTGATGTTTATCAGAGCACAGATGCAAGCTCACATTGAGGACCTTTTGCATGCTGTTTGTTGTTGGGTTGTCAGCTTGGTCTGATCTGTAATAACAAAGTCAGATGAAGAACTCCTAATAACAACCCGTTTCAGCTGCCAAGATCTCAGAGAGGGACATGAATACAAAGAAGACCAAGACCACTGCACAAATGTCTTCATTTGGCACTGATTGTACAAATGAAATGGAAGGTTTCCAGACTCCAGGATAAAAACAACACTTAGAGCCTTTGTAGCATCAACAATTAAGCTCTGATTGCCATTCCCACTTTAGCATATTCATTAGAATGTATGCAGAGCTGCACACGTGATGCATCAATTTACCCAAATTTAAATAAACCAGGAAGTTATTCTGTGGTTCCACGTAGGAGTCCTTATTCAAAGCCTAATTGTGCACACTGAATTAAAGCTTTATCAGCCTCTTCACAGAAAATCACAAACCAGTTATACGGGATCAAACAGTGAGTCACTGATTTAAACAAGTACATATGAATCCAAGGGCTGCCAGTCCCGTCGACTCTTCTCTCCTCTGCATTTCCCTCTTGTTTTGTAAACTCGCTCCCTTCGCAAAATCCAGACAAAACGCCACCTGTGCAGGCTGGCAATGCTTCCCAAGGCTCAAACAACTGCAAAACCTTCTCCATGTCAATCTCCTCTGTGTAGCCAAGCTCCCCGTGTCCTAAACAGCAGCTAGTGGGATTTCCAAACCTTTTATCATAATTCAAACAAATAATATTAATACATAAATACATCAATGTGAAAAGCCAGAGGGTCAGTTTTAACAATTTCATTAAACACACTACCCCAGAAGTTATAAAATTTAACATACAAACATTTATTTCTAACTTTTAGAAATTGACTACTATAAAATCTACTTTTCTTTTATTTGTGCTTATTTGATTAAATATTCAATAACAAACAATATCTAATGCATGTGTTTTGATTGTAATTCAAATGTTCCTATAGTTATTTATTTATAGCCCCTAGTATTGTTCATCTTTACTGTAGAAAAACATCTTATTATTTAAAAAAAAAAAACTAACCCGTGAAGCTATATTAAAAAACTCTGATCAGTTCTGTTTATGAACCCAGCAAACTCTCTATGTATGATTTGGAGTGTCNGTTTTAACGATTTCATTAAACACACTACCCCAGAAGTTATAAAATTTAACATACAAACATTTATTTCTAACTTTTAGAAATTGACTACTATAAAATCTACTTTTCTTTTATTTGTGCTTATTTGATTAAATATTCAATAACAAACAATATCTAATGCATGTGTTTTGATTGTAATTCAAATGTTCCTATAGTTATTTATTTATAGCCCCTAGTATTGTTCATCTTTACTGTAGAAAAACATCTTATTATTTAAAAAAAAAAAACTAACCCGTGAAGCTATATTAAAAAACTCTGATCAGTTCTGTTTATGAACCCAGCAAACTCTCTATGTATGATTTGGAGTGTCACTTTTACTCCAGAAAACACATTCAGTGTTGTTGTAATGACAATAATGCTTGTTGCAACTGCTGTGGTAAAATTGCCTTTTTGATAAGGGAGGGTTTCATTACTAAAGCATTGTTTTTTGTGATTGTTTTACTGTAAATATAAATTTATAGCCAAGACCACTGAGATAAATTTCAGAATACATTTAAAGGTCAATGGCATGTCATCTTAACAAATACCAGAAAATAATGTGATGAAACTGAGAGTAGATTAAAAGACTTTTTCGCTTCCATTCAGAAGCAGGTCTTTAGTATGAATGTTAGGGAAGATGTGTAGAAGTGATGCATAAGCAACGATATGTTTGGATATGCAAATCTGCAGTAATATTAAAGAGACACTAAGCAGGTACAGCAACAGGTTTGAAATCAGCTCCTTGCTCTGATATTAACCAGAACACTGTTGTTACGTCAGGAAGTGAAATTCCCAGCAAAGTCATCTCTCTTTAACTCACACGCAGAATAGACTAATCCAAAAAGCATTTATGGGGATATAAACGCGGCTGGCACACACACAACTGTGACAACGCATTCTCTGTTGCTACAACACATTGTCTCCAAACAACCTGCAGTTGAGATTCACCACTAAAGCACTCAGGAGGCTCCAACTTCGGCATCTGCTTCTCGTCTATTGTCAGGAATTCAACCTTTTGCTGTTAGATGATAAACATCTTTTCATTTGACCAAAGCGGAGACTTAATGACTGTTCTAACGATGAGAAAGAAAAGATCTTTATATGTTTAACCTCCGGCTGCAATAAGCGGTCCTGCTTTGGGAGTCACTAAATTACAGCACCGTTTTTCCCTGTAAAACCTTACTGTGTTTTGCTCTTTAGGGAGAAACAACAGATTTGTTTGTATGTGATGAAATCTAATAAAATATCCCAATGTTATCATGATGCCCTGCACAGTGGGAGCAATATAAGGGAGTACGTTGGTGGGTCGTTTTTAGCGAGCAGCTAAATCTCCAAAGTTTCCATTACATGCCTGGCTGGTCCCCTGATGTTCAAGGCAAGTGCTGTTCTCCCAAGAGCTGCTATGAGCCAGAAGTCTCCCACACACATGCACTCATTCCGTATACACAACAGACATGCAAACAAAGCCCTTTCTGAATCCCACTTTTCTGCTCATTAAGGACAGGTCTGTCATTTAGAGAAAAAATATTCCCTGATGCATAGTTCTGACTGAAAACAATATGACTCTCTGTGGCGGGAACACAGCATGAGTCTATGTTTGTACAAATGTGGGTGGAGGATACATTAACAACACAACTAATTTAGCAGTGAAATGCTGTTACATGTGCTGTGGTCTTAAACAGCATGTTATAGCTAATCCTGCACCCCTTCTCGGGGTTTGACAGTAATTCTGACAGAACTGATGACAGGCCACGAACAAACAATCAGTGACAAGGAGGGGAGTAAGAAGGGAGAACCAGGGAAGTAATGCAGTTCTGAGGATAAGTAAAGAAAAGAAATATTCTGAAGAAAGAAAGTTTTCCAGGTGGGTCTGCTAGTCCTTTAATGAGATCATCTTAGCCAAATTCCCTCTTCAACACATGCATCTATCTTATTGTGGTCATATGAAGATTTATACAACCTCAAGAAAATATGTTAGGTCAGCTTTTCAATGCTTTAGAACCTCCAAAAAACTCCAAACGCTGTACCCTGCTCTGCTACAGTGAGTGTAAGTGAGTATAAATCTACACACAAAAGGCCCATTTTAAAAATCTCTGGTACAACATTTTTAAAATGGGCATTTTTGATTACATTTATATGAATGAGATGTAAGAAAAACTCTTGGCTTACCTCCATTTTATCAAATTGTATTGAGTACAACACGGACTAATTCATATGCCTTACTGCACGTCCTAAATGTGTT